GCAGTGGGTCTCCAGGTTTGGAAGATGTTTCCATCTTGTTGTTTGAAGAAAGTTACAGAGTGGAGATTTGGAGCCCTGATGATGATAACAGAATTTCAAAATCTGGGGAAAAGCTTATTTGCCCAACCAGGCTTTTTGCAGTAAAACCCTTTATGTTTTATCTATTAAGAATATTTTCCAATTACAACCTGTATATTTAGGTCCTGTTTTTTTACTTTTATTTTTTATTTTTTTATTGGAAAAGCATTAAGTTTACTTTTGGTCCTGTAGTTTGTGCGTCACTTCGGTTCCATAGATCCAATTTTGTTAGTTTTATCCTTGTAGTCTCAATTCAGAGCAGCTCAAGGACATGTTCCAATTTCTGTCAAATTCTCCAAATTATGTTAAGTTTCGATAACGTGCCCCTCATGTGGAGAGGTATTTCAATTCACTCGAGCCATCTAACGGTAAAAAGAAAAGGATAATTGATAAAATTGAAAACTACAAGGATATAAATTAACAAAATTAAAACTATAGGGACCAAAGTGGTAAAACCGGAAAGCTATAGGCAACAAAACTAGATTCAAGAGCTATTGGTATACAGAAAAGCTAGATTCACCAAATCTGTATATCAAAGTTGTTCATCTAATAATGTGACAGATGTGATGATGGAATAAAAGCAGTTGAACTACAAAACCCTCACTAATTTTCAGCCTTGTGTATGGGATATCTGTTGACATGCATCCTAGTGCATGCAAGTAGTGAGGAATGCACTCTTGTTCTTCATTGTTTATTTGTAATTCTGGACTTGAACTTACAAAGATGAGAAATAAAAAATCTGCAGGCTTCAGGGATGGAAAACATTTTGACCAATTGGGAAAGAAACAGGAAGGTACTAACATGAAAAGCAACCCCAATTGCATGCCCCATGATTCTGACGAAGTGCTGATGGGGCATGACAGCAATAATCCCTGTTGTGAAGGCTACTGCAGTGAATTGCAGAGAGAAATATGTAAGAGCAGCAGCACTTGTGAAATAGTAAACATAGGAGGACTTGTTGCTGTTAACAGCTCCCCAGAACAGAAGGCAAGCTGCAATTATTGAGAAAGTCATGGCAATGGTGTCTGTGATGATGAACAGTTTGAGATACTTGCTTGATTCCAGAAGAGACACCCCTTCGTCTGGACCAATATTGTTGTTGTAGCCTCCGGGCATTGTGAAGGCCGCTGTAAATGTCACAGTTGTGATAAGTGTTGCAACCATCAAAAGGGTCTGCCCCATTTGTTTGTTAGTTTGCACTGCATTGGCTTCATCTTGATCTGCTCTTGAGAGAATCTTGATGCTGTCCAACCAAGAAGGCGGTGTCCGGAGATGTCCCCAAATGCTTGGGACTATATTCTGCAAATAAATTGATTAAGAGAAACAATGTCCATAAGAATCAAAGTTGTAGTTTGTTAAGCATCAATACCCCAATTTGGGAGATTGATTACGTATTTAGTTACTGCTCTAGTACTCACTCTGGGAGATGTAATTTCTTTGATTGACCTATCAATGTCAAATGCTGTTTGGCCATATTTGTTCTTGGATCTTGGATTCACTCTCCCGTCCCACTTCAAGTAACTCAGAATCCAGGTTTTTCTTTCAATGGTGGCTAGATGCAAAGGCGTATTTCCGTCAAAATCAGGCTGGTTTATGAGCTCCTCCAGCTCTTCTGTTTCTAGTATATACCTGACCACATTTCCGTGGCCACCAACAATGGCCATATGAAGAGCATTTCGTCCATAAGGGTCAAAAAGTTCTCCCGAATCTGGGCAATGCCGAACAATCTCTCTAATCACACTGGTATGACCTTTGCTGGCTGCAACATGAATTGGTGAGCAACCCTGTTTATCCAAAACATATGCTATCGAAATGTCGAGTTCTAGTAATCGTTGAACTGTTCTATGGTCTCCAAGGGATGCTGCATAGTAAAGAGGAGTCTTGCCTTGGTGGTCAGCTTCTTTGATCAGCTGCGGTTTGAATCTTAGGAGGGCTTCCATGATATCTTACAATCAGACAAAAAATTTAGCTTAAACATAATATATTTGCAGAAGTGAGAAGAAAAAATATAAATTAAAGAGGAACTAGATAGACACATGGAAAAAATATATTTGCAACATGAATTGGTGGCAAATTCAACTGCCAGAGGTGTCTCTCAGTAGTGAAACTCCAATATAGAATTTGCAAGGATATTTATATGATAGTAGTTGCTAAGGGCAACTGCATAATTAAACCACAGCTCAAACACACACACACACACACACACACACACACACACACACACACACACACACACGAGCTTCCATTGAGGGATACTCTTGTAGGACTCACTCCGCATTGTATTTCACTAATCGAAACAGTCTATTTTTTAGATAATCATTCAAAGATCATCTCTATAAAAAATCACTTGAATCCGATATCATTTGACCATCCAATTGAGTTATTGAAATTTTAGTACGTTCTTGAAGTATCATGTTCATTGATTTTGCAAGACACAATTGGATGTCAAAACAGTTTCCGATTTGTCTAATTTTATGTAAGGATGATCTATGAATGAAGACTTAAAAAATAGATGATTTGGATCGTTGAAAAATAAATCGTAAAGGACCCTAAAAGATGTCCCTCAAATAAAATTATTTGAAGAATCCCTCAATAGAAAGGGACTATATATATATATATATATATATATATAGCTGGGCTAAAGTATGACATACCAAAATGCTTCTCAACTACAGCAGCATGCAGGGCTGTTTGACCATCTGAACCACCATGAGCTGATGAAGGACTTGATTGCAAAATTTGATTCAGAATATCTAACAATCCCTCTCTTGCAGCCAGGTACAATGGAGACTCACCTGCCTCATTTTCAAAACAAGCTAATTTGGGGTCAATTTTAAGTAAAAACTCAGCCACTTTGTTGTGACTATTCCTCACAGCTTCGTGTAAAACCGTGTCGTTCCCCCTATTTCTGACTCTCAGAGTGTCAAACATGCTGCTGCTGCTCACGTTCCTGAACTCTACTTGTGACATGGACATGGTTTCTCTGACCAGATAAGTGACAATCGAGAAGCGGCCAACCCTTGCAGCCACATGTAAAGGGGTATCTCCATCTAAATTTGGATGTGTGAGAAGGGACCTGCGTCTGCTGTAAATCTCAGCTGTAACATTGTTGTGTCCAAATTGGACGGCGATATGGAGGGCAGTGTTTTCCCGGGGTGTAAGTTGATACAGTAGCGTTGGATCATCGTTAAGAAGTTGTTTAAGGAAGCAAACATCCCCTGATTTTGCAGATTTGTAGAGCCTTGGATCCATGGAACTTTTGGAACATCCTGGTATTACATAATTATGGGGTTGTTTTATTCAAGGCCTTGTTATTGTAGTAATTTTGACACAGCGTTTACCTTGGCAGCTGGAAAATTCTAAATTCATACCATCTGGACAACCAAGACTTTTGTGCACTGACTTCCAAATTCTTGTGGTCCATTTTGGTACATGTGGTGGAATTGAATCTGCCTGAAGTTCAACTCGGTTGGCTGTTCGTCGAAATTGGAACTTGACAATAAAGCCTTCAACAACTGTGTAATTATGACAGTCACGTCTGCTTCAAACAGCAATCTGCTGTGGCTGACTTCATGTCCTTCAACGGAGGTCTTTGAAAAACTAATAAATTTTGGATTATTTTGAACTGCTGTCAAGCATTGCCTGATGAAGTGGGTAAACTTGCGCCTTCTTCCAAGTCTTTCTATTGGCTGAAAAGAAAATAAACATGGAATTTTATGAAAAAATGAAAGAATATCAAACTCTCCCTGAAGATGCAGACTTTTTAGTCCTTGGTTTCAGACTTCTGTTCCTTTTTTACTGTTTCGTTATTTATTTATTTAAAAAATTAATTGATTATTATATTTTTTAAAATATATTTTTTATTTATTTTAATTCTCTTCTTGTTGACTGTTGTTTATGTTGCTGTGAACTTACGACACTGGCTTCTCCATGACTTGGGTCATAGACTCTTTAACGTGTACTCTACTTCATTCGTGGCTCCACTCCAAAACCAATTGGTAATGAGAATAATCAAACTCTTTATAAGCCCATACTAGTAACTTTTCAATGTGAGACTTTTTCACTTTCACATCTCACACGCCCCCGCACGTGTGGTAAATATTCAAGTCTAACACATGAATAACACATATTGGGTGATGTAGAGCACTTGTGGCCGTTGGGCTTTCACACATGGACAACCCGCTTTGATATTATGAAAGGTTTGGAATTTCTTGATATATTATCCTCATTGAGAAAGGTATTTATAATACAAAGAGTTGACAAAGTTCTATTGTACAGCTAACAAACCGCGAGGAAATTAAAATCCTAAAATTGAGTAATCTAATCACACAACTAATTGACAACTATAGTTTACTTTTATTAGAGGAAATAAGTAGATGTCTGAGGAGGAAAAATAGGTGATATAATAAGTAAAATTAAGTGTCAATGGTTGAAACTTCAAATGAATCAAAGAAGTGGGGTGGGCTCGGATGACTCAAGAAACAAAGGGGAAGTCTTTTTACGTTTCTGTAAGTTCCCAAGGACAAATGTGAGGACAAATGCACCCATGCACCCGAGGAAGGGGGAGTGGGGGTTACTCACAAACACGGGTACCATGGGGGTTTGAACCCATGACAACTTGAGAGTACACCAAAGGCCTGAGCCAATCCAACTGACACCCTATTAGTACTCGAGGTACTATGTTCAAGTGCATTATCATGGCCAAAACTACTACTATTGCTTCTTGGACTCTCATGTATGAGATGACTCACTGCTATAGCTTACGTGCATTGCATATGTTGGCAGATCTTATCTCAACCTTGGCATCAGTAATATTGAAATACAAAACTTTATACATTAAAAGTGTATAATATTGTGACAAATTGTAATCTTTAAACCATTAAACATCAAACTTGTTCATTAGATATGTGATAGATGTGCTGAAGGGGTAAAAGGAGTTGAACTATAAAGTAGTGCAAAATGCACTTATTCTTCATGGTTTGTTCTTGATTTTGCACTTGAGCTTACAAAGATGAGAAATGAAGAATCTGCAGGCTTCAGGAAGGGAAAACATTTTCACCAGTTGGGAAAGAAACAAAAAGGTACTAACATGAAAAGCGATTCCAATTACGTTGCCCAAGACTTTGGCAAATTGCTGATGGGGCATGACAGCCTTAACTCCTGTTGTGAATGCTATTCCAGTGGATAGCAAAGCAATATATGTAAGAGCAGCAGCACTTGTGAAATAGTAAACATAGGAGGACTTGTTGCTGTTGACAGCTCCCCAAAACAGAAGGCAAGCTGCAATTATTGAGCAAGTCATGGCAACAGTGTCTGTGATGATGAAACACTTGAAATCATTATTTGACTGCAGAAGAGCCTGCCCTCGGTCTGGGCCTACATCGTTGTTATACCCCCCAGGCATTGTGAAGGCAGCTGCAAATGTTACAGTTGTGATAAGTGTTGCAACCATCAACAGGGTCTGCCCCATTTGCATGTAAGTTTGCACTGCATTGGCTTCTTCTTGTTCTGCTCTTGGGGAAATATTGATGTTGCCCAACCATGAATGTCGGTTACCGAGATGTCCCCAAATGCTTGGAGTTATGTTCCGCAATTCCTATAAGATGAACAGTTGTAGTTTGCTAAGCATTATGACCAATTATATACAAGGAATATTAATTATGTAATTAGGACTCACCCTGGGAAATGTAATACTAGATTCTTTGATTGACCTATCAATCTCAATTGCTGTTTGGCCAAATTTGTTCTTGGATATTAAATTTACTCTTCCATCCCACCTCAAGTATCTCAGAATCCAAGTTTTTCTTTCAATGGTGGCTAGATGCAAAGGCGTATTTCCATCAAAATCAGGCTGGTTTATGAGCCCCTCCAGCTCTGCTGTTTCTAGTATATATCTGACAACGTTTGCTTGCCCATTGAAGATTGCAATATGAAGGGCATTCCATCCATAAGGATCAACAAGTTCTCCCGAATCTGGGCAATGTCGAACAATCTCTCTAATCACACTGGTATGACCTTTGCTGGCTGCAACATGAATTGGTGAGCAACCCTGTTTATCCAAAACATATGCTATCGAAATGTCGAGTTCTAGTAATCGTTTTACTGTTCTATGGTCTCCAAGGTATGCTGCATAGTAAAGAGGAGTCTTTCCTTGGTGGTCAGCTTCTTTGCTCAGCTGCTGTTTGAATCTTAGGAGCACTTCCATGATTTCTTACAATCAGACAAAAATTTAGTTTAAATATAGATTAAAAAAATTGCAGAAGTCAGGAAAAAGTATAAATTAAAGAGGAAATAGCTAGAATCTTTTTTATTAGAAGAGCAATATCTGTATGGAATGGATACTACTATATTATTTATGCAAATTCAAATATCTGTAGTGTAACCCCCATAAAGAATTTGCGAGGAAATTGATATAATAGTAGTTGCTGAGGAAAAGTGTGACATACCAAAATGCTTCTCAACCACAGCAGCATGCAGAGCTGTTTGGCCATCTGAACCACCATGAGCTGATGAAGGACTTGATTGTAAAATTTGATTCAGAATATCCAACAATCCCTCTCTTGCAGCCAGGTACAAATTACAATGGAGATTCACCTGCCTCATTTTCAAAACAAGCCAATTTGGGGTCAATCTTAAGTAAAAACTCAGCCACTTTGTTGTGACCATTCCTCACAGCTTCGTGTAAAACCGTGTTGTTCCCCCTATTTCTGTCTCTCAAAGTCTCAAGCATCTTGCTGCTCACATTCCCAAACTCTACTTGTGACATGGACAAGGTTTCTCTGACCAGATAATTGACAATCGAGAAGCGGCCAACCCTTGCAGCCACATGTAAAGGGGTATCTCCATCTAAATTTGGCTGTGTAAGAAGGGACCTGCACCTGCTATAAATCTCAGCTGTAACATTTTCGTGTCCAAATTGCACGGCGATATGGAGAGCGGTGTTTTCTCGGGGCGTAAGTTGATATAGTAGCATGGGATCATCGTTAAGAAGTTGTTTAAGGAAGCAAACATCCCCTGATTTTGCAGATTTGTAGAGCCTTGGATCCATGGCATTTTTGGAACTAGGCAGGCATTACATAATTGTTGGGGTTGCTTTATATATGGCCTTGTTATTGTAGGTAGCAAGTGTGGAAATTTTGACAGAGCATTTACCTTAGCACTTGGAAACAAAAAAAAAAAATTCCAAATTCATCTAAATCGGAACAACCAAGATTTTTGTGCACTGACCTCTAAATTGTTGTGGTCTATTTTTATTCACGTGTAGGAATTGAATCTGCCTCAAGTTCAACTCAGTTGAGTTTATTTTTAGACTACACCAGAAGCCTCTAAGTTGACTATGGATATAGACTACACCAGAAGTCTAAGAATGAACATCACTACCCCATTTTTCAAAATTGTATTAAGTTCACAATCATGTCTGCTTCATACGCTAGCCTGCCATGGATGACTTCAAGTCCTTCAACCCAGGTCATTGTAAAACTAAGAAACTGCTCATAAGTTCTAGTGTGTATGTGACAGCCTTGAAACAAAACAAAATACTAAATGAGCTAAAATGAATTTATTAGTTTAACTATAACTATATGATGATATAATAATGCCTATTGATTTTGAAGCAACCACAATGGTTTCGAAGCAATAAAGATGATGGTTATGTAGAAAATATATTTCCTTGTATTAAACAAAGTACACAAAGTCTCTATTTATACTATACAAGATATCTACCTAAGGTAGGAAATATATAGACATGAATACAATCCGATTTACAGCAAGAAAGTCTAATTGGTAGGAGGAGATTGTGAAGTTGACTTCCATGTGTGCTAGGAAAGGAAAGCTGCGTTAACACTACCCCCCTGGGAGCAAACTGGGTTTCACAGGATGCACAAGTTGGAAGACATATGCTGATGGCGTAGTTTGTGAAGGGCTTTGGTAAACAGGTCTGCAGGTTGGTCAATAGAAGGAACAAAGCAAACTTGATGACTTCCAAGAGCAACCTTTTCACGAACAAAGTGATAGTCCAACTTAATGTGACGTGTGAGGGCATTGAAAATTGGATTGGCCGCCATGTATGTCGTGCTGAGATTGTCACAAAAGAGTTAGACCAAGAATCGAAGAGGCACACCCAATTCATGAAGAAGGGAGCACTTTTGAATCAAAGACATGCAAATGTATTGGATTCCTTAGGAAATCTAAAAATAAATAAGGGCATTTTTGTCCATTTTTGCTTTTTTTAAAATTTTTCTCTCTCCTTTTGCTTTTTCCAAAATGTCCCTTCTTCTTCTGTGTCTATTTGTTCTCTTTCTGTCTTGTGTGTGTGTGTGGTGTTATTGTAATCTTTAAACCCCTAAACATCAAACTTGTTCTAATGTGACAGATGTGCTGAAGGAGTAGTTGAACTATATAGTAGTGCAGAATGCACTTATTCTTCAAGGTTTGTTCTTGCTTTTGCATTTGAGCTTACAGAGATGAAAAAGGAAGAATCTGCAGGCTTCAGGTAGGGAAAACATTTTCACCAACTGGGAAAGAAACAAAAGGGTAATAACATGAAAAGCGGCTCCTACGAGGGTTCCCAAGGTTTTGACAAATTGCTGATTGGGCATGACAGCCAAAATCCCTGTTGTGAAGGATGCTGCAGTGAATTGCAGAGCAAAATATGTAAGAGCGGCAGCACTTTTGAAATAGTAAACATAGGAGGACTCTTTGCTGTTAACAGCTCCCCAGAACAGAAGGCAAGCTGCAATTATTGAGCAAGTCATGGCAATGCTGTCTGTGATGATGAACCACTTGAAAAAATTATTTGACTGCAGAAGAGCCTGCCCTTGGTCCGGGCCTACATCATTGTTATATCCTCCAGGCATTGTGAAGGCTGCTGCAAATGTCACAGTTGTGATAAGTGTTGCAACCATTAAAAGGGTCTGGCCCGTTTGCATTGCAATGGCTTCTTCTTGGTCTAGTCTTGAAAAAACCTTGAAGTTGTCCAACCAAGAAGATGGTGTCCGGAGATGTCCCCAAATGCTTGGCATTATATTCTGCAAGTAAATTCATTTAAGAGAAACAAAGTCTATAAGATTGGCAGTTTGTAGTTTGTCAAGCATTAAGACCAATTTTATACAAGGGATATTAATTATGTACTTAGTACTCACCCTGGGAGGTGTAATATTAGCTTCCTTGATTGAACTATCAATCTCAATTGCTGTTTGGCCATATTTGTTCTTCGATCTTGGATTTACTCTTCCATCCCACTTCAAGTACCACAAAATCCAAGTTTTTCTTTCAATGGTGGCTAGATGCAAAGGCGTATTTCCATCAAAATCAGGCTGGTTTATGAGCCCCTCCAGCTCTGCTGTTTCTAGTATATACCTGACAACTTTTGTTTGCCCATTGAAGATTGCAATATGAAGAGCATTCCGTCCATAAGGGTCAACAAGTTCTCCCGAATCTGGGCAAAGTCCAACAATCTCTCTAATCACATTGGTATAACCTTTGCTGGCTGCAACATGAATTGGTGAATAACCCTGTTTATCCAAAACATATGCAATCGAAATATCGAGTTCTAGTAATTGTTGAACTGTTTTATGGTCTCCAAGGGATGCTGCATAGTAGACAGGAGTCTTGCCTTGGTGATCAGCTTGTTTGATCAGCTTCTGTTTGAACCTTAGGAGGGATTCCATGACATCTTATAATCATACACAAAAATTTAGCTTAGATTAGAAAAAATTACAGAAGACTCTTACTGATTAGAGGAGCAACATCTGTATGGAATGGATACTACTATTTTTATTTATGCAAAATTCAACTGCCAGAGGTGTCGATAGTGACAGTCCCTCATAGGATTTGCAAGTTAATTGAGATAATGGTAGCATATATTACTGGGCCAAAGTATGACATACCAAAATGCCTCTCAACCACAGCAGCATGCAGAGCTGTTTGGCCATCTGAACCACCATGAGCTGATGAAGGGCTTGATTGTAAAATTTGATTCAAAATATCTAACAATCCCTCTCTTGCAGCCAGGTACAATGGAGACTCACCTGCCTCATTTTCAAAACAAGCCAATTTGGGGTCCATCTTAAGTAAGAACTCAGCCACTTTGGTGTGACCATTCCTCACAGCTTCGTGTAAAACCGTGTTGTTTCCCCTATTTCTGGTTCTCAGAGTCTCAGTCATGCTGTTGTTGTTGGTGTTCCCGAAATCTACTTGTGACATGGACAAGGTTTCTCTGACCAGATAATTGACAATCGAGAAGTAGCCAACCCTTGCAGCCACATGTAAAGGAGTATCTCCATCTAAATTTGGTTGTGTGAGAAGGGACATGCATCTGCTACAAATCTCAGCTGTAACATTTTTGTGTCCAAATTGCACGGCGATATGGAGGGCAGTGTTTTCTCGGGGTGTAAGTTGATATAGTAGCATTGGATCATCGTTAAGAAGTCGTTTAAGGAAGCAAACATCCCCTGATTTTGCAGATTTGTAGAGCCTTGGATCCATGGAATTTTTGGAACTAGGCATTGCATAATTGTGGGGTTGCTTTATGTAAGGCCTTGTTATTGTAGGGAGTTTTGGCAGAGCATTTACATTGGCACTTGAAAAAAAAAAATCAAAATTAAAATCAAAATTCATCCCATCTAGAACAACCAAGATTGTTGTGGCCTATTTTGGTTCAAGTGGAGTAATTGAATCTGCCTCAAGTTCAACTCAGTTGACTATATATTTAGACTAAAACAGCAGCCTTTAAGATTGAACATCCCAACCCATTTTAATATTTAATATTAAAATATGAATAATGTTACTCTTACCACATTTGTATACCGCATTCTTATATCACCTTATGAGGCAGATGAGGTGTGGTATACAAATGTGGTAAGAGTAACATTACTCTTAAAATATTAGTGGCTGCTATAGGGTTTTTCAGCTTTTTTTTTTTCCTTCCTTTAATATTTAATTTTTAATTTTTAAATTTCATCCAAATTAACAGGGTTAAAATGGGATTAAGTGGAAAATGAGGACAACGGATCCCATCCCATCAAAATGTGGACTCCACTTCTAGAAATGGTTAAAATTGAAACTTCAAATGAATTAAAGAGAGAAGTGGGGCTTGGTTGACTTGAGAAACAAAGCTCAAGTCTTTTTACATTTCTATAAGTTTCAAGGGAAATGTAGCAACCTTCTCTCTAACCTTCTCTTTTGTATCTTCTCCATTTTTCTCACAACAAGTGTCACTTTTATTACATTTACAACAATGTCATTAATGCATCATGCAAACTACTTTTTATTTTCCAAGTTTACCCTTATTAAATATATTAATTTTTTTTTAATAACAAACTTTTTTTTTTTTTTTTTACAACTTTCTTACTACCTTGTTAAAAAATTAAATAAGAAAATAAAAACTGAAGTTTTTCTATTTTTTTATTTTTCCCAGAGAGGACGTATGTTTTGTTAAACACAAAAGAAAGATGATATCACTTTCATGATAACAATGTCATGAGACAAACTTTTTAAACAAAAATATAAGGAAGATTCACTAGAATACCCAATATAGGAGCCCAAATGATAAAATAAAAAAACCCCTATATGAAATGGACTTTAGAAATACACACAAAACTCATTTACAACATAACAAAAAGGCTTTTAACTTCTTTTAAATTACAAAACTGCCATTAATTTCTTAAAACAAACCCAACTCAAAAACCTCATAAAAAACCCCAAAACACTCAATGGAGCATCAAAGTAATTTAACAATTAAAATTAAATTCAATAGGGTCATTTGTCATTTTTTGGGTTTTTTTTTTGGTATGTTTATAAAAATTAAATAGTATAGGGTTTATTTATAGTTTTAGTGCTAAGAATGGGTATATGACTAAATATCTCAAAATATAAAGACCTTTTTTCTTCTTTTTTCTTCTTATTTAATTTTTAACAATGTGCTAAGAAAGTTGTAACAAAATTTGGACAAATTGAAGGAAATATAAAAGAAAATACATTTAATAAGGGTAAACTTGGAAAACAAAAACTAATTTGTGTGATGCATTAATGACATTGTTTTAAGTGTAA